TAGGAATCAGTACGGGCGAGATATAGCCTTGTTGGATTTGTTGGACGTAAATCAGTACCAAAAAAGGAAAGTATGCAGTCTTAGATCGTCAGGTTACCTCAGCCGACAGACCACGTGCAATTATTTGTAGTTTTAAAAAATTTAAAAAGTCATAACTTTTGATTCGAGTGTCAGAATTTAGATCAGTTTTCGGGTTTCTCCCGACGAGTTCTTCAAAACTAGATCCCATATGAGTAGGTTTAGACAAACTTTTTTTTCAAGCAACTTTGTGTGCTACAGAGACAACTTCAATGCTATAGGAAAGCAACTCCTTTTTTCCATCTACCTATCAGCGGAGGATCCTTCTAAGTTGGTTACCATGACTACCAATTAACTAACTTCACCTCTAAATTTCCTACCATAAGGACACTCAATCACGCCAAATGTCGGGATCAGCCTCTCCAGACACCTTTAACCATCCAATGATGGTCACCTAATTTGTTTGAACAAGTCCGTACGTCTGAAATCCTCCAAACGAAACAACGAGGCGTCATTCTATAGGCCCCTCAGCCTCCATTGCTCCCTCCGATATTAAGTTGGATCCCATCTCCTAAGACACAAGAGGAGCAGAATCCGCCAAGTTCGATCGTACCAAGAGATCCCACCCAAAGGAGATAAATTATTGATGCATCTCTATGACACAAACTTGAAAGGTATCTAAAAACCTTTACATATTAGCCAAGTTATGATCTTGGTAATGTTTCTGTTCATGAGGATTGGACAACTGGATACATGATTTTACACAACTGTATAGTTGATTGTGCGCAACCGGATACATGATTTTAGACAATTGTATGGTTGATTATGGGCAACTGGATATATGATTTTACAGAATTGTATGGTTGATTGTGGGCAACTGGATACATGGTTTCAGGCAACAGTATCATTGGATACATAGTTTTAGACAACTGTATGGTTGATCATTGGCAACTGTATACATGGTTTTAGACAACTGTATGGTTGATTGTGGGCAACTGGATACATGGTTTTAGGCAACAGTATCATTGATTGTAGGCATGTGAGGCAGTTTATAATGACTTCTCGATGATAGGCAATCATAGTAGACAAACTAAGAAGAAGTTGCTTTTCTATGGCACTAAAGTTGCCTTTTTAGCACCCAAAGTTGCTCAAAACAGAAAGTTTGTCGAAATATATCCATATGAGATATACTTTTGAAGAACTTGTCACAAGAAACCCAACGGTGAAAATGAATCTGAATTCCTATACTTGAATCAAAAGTTATGGCTTTTTAAAATTTTATTAAGCCCAAATAAATGCACGTACATGTTCTTTCTTGACTGATTTGTGTAAAGAAGACAACGTCGATGAGATCATGAACAGATACTTTCCTTTCTCATAGTGTAATGATGATACAGAATGCTAATTACTATTTTTATAGGGCCAGTTTTTTGTCGTGTACTGCATGCGCTCGCGACGCCCGAATAGCGCAGCTGCACTTTGAAGCATTTAGGTTGTTTTATTAAGGCAAAAGTCTAAAATTAACCATGAATTTGTATGCCAAGTCTGAATCAAACCTCGTACTCTTAATCCCTGAAATCAGCACCTTGATCTTATTGATCCCGGTTAATTTTGACCCTATTTTTGTTTTGCGCAATAGTAAAACATCTGATCCCGGCCGAGATCACTTACTACTCTCGCTGACCACACTGGCCCACTTGTTATATAATACTACTTCTCTAGTCAATGGTCATTTGCCTAAAAAATATCTGTCGCTAGTCATTTTCTCTCTCGCATCTACACTACAGTTGCATCATCTTCCTGGGGACGTGCGCGGAGGCGAACATCCAGACCGGATCCTCCACTCACTGGAGTAGCAATTGAGGATGCTGGGAAAATCAAAAGGAATCACGAATTACCAGGAACCTAATGTTGCGGTAGGAATTCCGATGAAGATGTGAAGATGGCTCGCGGCCAAAGTTTATGGTAGCGAGACACTTCAGTTGAGGATGATCGAAATTGATTGAGCGTCAAGCCGTCAGCAGAATTGGATTAAGAGCACCTCCAAATGCGCGCGAAATAATCGGCGCTGGATAAACCGCCAATTTGGCAAGCGAGAGGCCGTGCGGCGCGCTCCAACAGATGCGCGAAAGTTTGAGTGTGAAAAAGATGTGCGCGCGCGGAGGAAAAGCGGCAGCACGCGGAGCAGTTTTGGTATGCGTCGCCCAACGCGCTAGTTAAAAGCCGCGCGCAGGCGCCCGTCGCCACTGTTTCCCTCCTGTCGCGCCTTCCTCCTCGCCTCTTCCAGCGCCCCGCCGCCGCTGCGCCTTCTCCCCTCGCCTCTTCCAGTGCCCCGCCATGCCGCCGCACCCCTGGAGCAGGTCGGGCTACCGCGGCGTCCGCCCGCCCCTCTGGCGTGTATTATGTGGAGATCCGTTTCGGCCATACACGCCTCAGGCTCGGCACGTTCGGGACTGCCCACGAGGTTGCTCGCGCGCACGATGCGGCGGCGTGGCGCCCCGGGCGACCTCGGTCGCAGATGAACTTCACTGACGTACAGATGCGCGAGCAGGCGCAAGAGCTCGTCCCTCCCCCGTGACTAATCAGCGAAGAGGATCGCCGCCTCCAACGGAGGCGGAAGCGCCGCCACCTCATCATCGAGGTGGACGAGCATGCCATGGTGGTGTAGCGCGAGCGCTTTCCGCATGACGTCACCGCCGAGAACGATTTCTGCGCGCAGAGGAAGGCGGAGCTAGTCGGGCGTCGAGCGGAAAAGCATATGCGCGGAAGTAACAGGCAGAAGCCCAGATCAAGTTGGGACCTACGTCGACCTGAGGCAATGAAGATCATCGGTGGCTCGATGCGTTTACGTCGTCAAACTACACCATCGACAAGGACGAGGAGTAGTTTTATTTAGTATCGTTTTATTTATTTTTATTAGCATAGTATGAACTGACTTGTGGTTTGGGGAACTATGCTATGAAATTTAAAGTTTTGAACGATGTGCTGTTTCATATTTTTTTCGTATGTATTGTTTAAAAAAAATTCCAAGCGCGCTGGGTTTTACCGCGCTTGATGAAGCGTTGTAGCGGGGCGCTAAATTTTACAGCACCTAATAAAGCAACCACTGTGCGCACTAAAATGTTATTTCGACGCTGCAAGAAAAATTAGCGTGCCGCGCTACCGTGCACCTGTTGGAGGTGCTCTAAGCTTGGAGGTAGAGCGGCGGTCCTCTTCCTCTCGCCCGTCGGCGTGCTCTGGCAGTAGCTCGCGGATGCGCTTGATCGCAAGCCAGACTTGAACAATTTCTTCATGTACTCCAAGGATGTCGTATACGAGCTCAGAGTGCCTGCTGTGACTCGTGACCTTAGCATCAACAGCTCGCCTCATACATCTCCGTAGTAGTCTGGGCGCACAGGCTACACGCTAGCGTACGAGCTCACTTGCACATGAGAGAGATATTAGGAAGAAGACAATGTGTGCCATGGTCGTTGGTGAGAAAAATGTCTAATTCAGGTTGGGATTGTCTTTTCCCGCTTAGACAAACATGTTCAGAATGTTGTAGGGTTGGGGATTAACCGAGGTCGATAAGGTTAGGGTGCTGATTTCAAAGATTAATAGTTTAAGGTTTGATATACAAACTTGGACTATAAGTTTAAGGTTTATTTCAGACTTTTTTCCTTTCATTAAACGTGTTAATACAAAGATATAGTCAAGACTCAGCGCGAGCGGCACACGTCCTCTTACATATCCGTATACATGGCGCACACGGGCGTGGCCGCGAGGTCAACCACGAGCGCGGAAGGACGCCATTCTGACGGGGGAAAACGTGTGCAGCTACTCCGCCATGGTCCGGGGGACGCCGGCCGCCGCTGGTGGCGCTCACGATTCAGCCAGCAGCAGCAGGCACCCCAGGGACGGTCACTACGACCATCAGTCCACCGTGTACACATACACATACGCTGCACTTTTATATGCTGGCTTCTTTCACTGGTTTGGAACCGCATCATCTCGTCACGGCTGGAGTTCGTTTGCAAAGTTTGGTGTGGGCTATTCTGTAGCTCGAGGAGAATAACTTGATACACAAAATATTCTGTCTTGAAGAAATAAAAACGTGGATACTACGTCATAAGTGGTCTGGACAACTTCACAGACTGTCGTCGGTGCAATTTACTACTTCCTCCGGTCCATATTACTTGTCACTGATTTAGTACAAAGTTAGTACAACTCGCTGGTTTAGTATAAAGCTATACTAACTTTGTACTAAACGAGCGACAAATAATATGGATGGGAGAAAGTAATAAATAAATTTAGACTTGCTACAACAATCACACCAGAATACTGAAAATCAGCCAAACTTCATGTACCCATATCGGAGAAGCTAACGAATGGTAGACCACCATCAACACATCATGAGAAGAGCTTTATTAATGGTATTCCTCCTTCTATAAACTTCAACTTTCATTGCTAAATGCTCCTTATGTGAGACAAACTAAAGATTAAATGGAAAAGCTTCTGCATAAAACCTTGAATGATGACCTCAGCCTGCGCCACCAAGATCACACCGAAACTCGGATGCATCTACCTCTGTGCTACCACTTCAGCATCCATAAGATTGGCATCACTCCTCGTGTCCTTTTATGATGTGTGGAACCCTAGCACAACCAACATACTCAACTTTTCGATTTAGACTGAAGTTGTCATCCTCGTCGTATGGAAAAATTTGCTAGCTAGGAATGCAAAAGTTTTAGGGATATCAATGAGCATGTCACAATCATCGTTAAAACTATAGTTAGTGGCATGACTCACCGATTGAGTAATTGCACTCAGGTGGGGAACGCTCACCACCCCAACTTTATTGATCGGGAAACGATAGAAAACATGAGAACAACGTCACACAAATAGTAGATATACGCTGGTGGGAAGTATCATGTGTGGAAGCACACAACTCACACATTCAGAAGTCACTTGAGACATATACTCTAGAAAGCTTGTGAGTAATATCATGCGGATTTTGCCTTTGACAAGACCACCTTCCTCCTAAGGAGCATATAACGGTACATATGTGGAAATCCTGCAGTCATCCAGATGAAACGAAGAGGTGTCTTGTCAGATAATACATATGTATACCTTTGGTCAATAATTGTAAAGAAAGCGTAACTGGAAAATAGATACCCATTAGAAGAACAGATGCATAGTGGTAGTTGAAGGAGAAATTCCATTTATTGGGCATTTGAAGGCAGTATTTATTGGAGGCCTGACAACAGTCACCCACAATATAGAACTGTTAAGCAAAACTCTCATTGAAGTAAATAACATGGAGCTCTTCATGTCTTCGGTTATTTGGATTACCTTCATGTAAGGCATTGTGACGTATATGAGGCCAACTTCACTTAGCATACCGATAGGATAAAGTACGAGGAACATGTTATACCTACAAACAATCGGTACAAAAACAATGAAGCAATGTAAATATACTAAAACAATAATACTTCTAAGATGTGAGGTCTTTGTAGATCCAATACCAACCTAAGCCATAATAGCCAGAAATGTGCAAATCCAAATGTCTCCTTCATACGATAGTAAGGATATCTGATGACCTACAAATCAATAGCAATTTTACCATAATTATGATCAAATAAAGAAAATTTGAAAAATCTTGGATTGATTAGGTTCAACATAAGAAGTGTCATAACTTCTGGTCTTGAGTTAGTGATCTTCAAGCATTATTGTGACATGAAGAACCAGGAGTTGCTTTTTAGCGTCTTATGTTGATTCTGCTTTCTAAATTGATGATGTTTCACTTGATTAATTTAGTAAATATTTGTGGAAGCAACATATACCGCAACAGTGGACCATGCTAGGATCAAGGAAGTAACAAGAATATGAGGGCGCGTCTGCAAGACAAGTGTGCTTAATGATCAGGCAATATAGTTGAGAAACCAAATATTTATTTTCTTATGTTCTCGTTAATCATACGTGTAGAATACCTCTGTGTTAAATATTTCTAGGTTTGACCATAGAAAGGAAATTACCAACATCAACAACATTAATTGATACTACTTCACAAATCATAAATATGCCTACATGGGCTCCACTTTTGAATTTACAGTGCAATTGTTGCCATTGTATTATTCTTTATGGAAGTATTACCATGGGCTATTTCATGATCAGAAATAAAAATGATATGTGTCTACTTTCAGGAGTTGCAATAGAAGTTTGCATCGATATTTTCTCATTTACCAATTGCCTTTAAATCAAGAACTTGTTTTGTGCATCATAAAGAGAAAATGATGTTTTTCTCTCTATAGCTCCAGACTTGCTTAGTCATGGGTTGTTCATATTGATACCTCGGGAAAGCTCCGCAAGACACCCCATGCAACAAATATCCTTCCAATAAGTTGTAGAATTGTTGCGGAGGCAGGAGACTTCACAAGCCCTTTCATGAATTCAGTATTCAAAAGAGTGATTAAAAAAGAACATGATACTGTACAACTAGAAGATAATGAAGAATCCTTACCACAAGTGAATGAACAATCTATGCAAAAAGCAGTGCCGTCACCATGCAACACCAAAAGGGTTAGCAACTCACAGTCATCATGTTCAAAGAATAAAAACCTATGAAATTTGAACTAAGATACCATTAAGAGTTTAATACAAATTGCTCCCAGGGAAGAAAAGCGCCACAAGAATCATCAAAGTACTTTTTGACATTTTGGTCAGCATGCCTCCCATGTTGTCATCCAAAAATCAAGGCAGACCTCTGAGTTGGAGTTTGTACCCTTGCAGGAGTGATTGCATGTTTAACTGATCATCTATACCAATTTCTTGGCAGGTTATCTTCAAAGCTACCACGTCAATCCTTACATGGTCATTACTTCTGCGTGTGAATGCCCAGGAGCATATAGACTTTTGGTTCAACTATCCAGAGACGGTCGCACGAGAATTATTCAACCAATTTGGCTGGCGAGCTAGTAATAGATTATGTATCTGAGTCATTTAACCTGATTATCGACCGACTATGTATCTGAGTCATTTTTTCCACAAGCGGGCGAAGGCTAAAACAACGAGAGAGATATGCAGTTTGTATGGAATATAATTTTCTTAGCCTGCAATAGGCCCACATGTTAGCATAGTCAACCAAAAAAAATGAAGAAACGTTCTGCACCGGCGAGTGTAGTGTATGATTGATGTACCATGTACCCTGTCGGTTCACACGACCAGTCTCCCTAATGATGAATAAGCAAGAGAAATACACACCGACAACAAGACATTACGAACACTAAGTTGGCCAAGTTATCTGAGACAGGAGTATATATATATGTGTGACTATAGCGGGCGCAGCGGAGCGTACCGTACCATCTATTTTAAACCTAATTTGTTGAACAAATTATGCACCTATGCAAATAACTAGTACTTTACGAAGATAAAAGATAAGAACCATAGTGCATAACTGACATGACAAAGAATACCAAACCTCCATTAAAGCGGCAGTCTGTGTGACCAGTAGCGGCCGCTCGATCGCGGTGTAGATAGCCTCAGGCCTCCTCTCCAACAATGCCAATGTTGCGTAGCACAACACCTGTGCCCTGCATGATCGGAATTTAAGTGCTCGATCAAACAAAGTAACAAATGACCTCTTTTTCATCCGTCAAGGCATAATTTTGGTTTTGCATGACTTTGCTTTTTGCCAGCGTGATTCTTTGTGCGTGTTTGTTAGTGTTGACTATGTGCAGCTTAATTGTGTAGAGATCGGGTGTGTTCACTGTGTTTATATATATTCCTCATAATGCTCAATTTTGAGTTAATAAGTTTCATCCTCTGCCAAACAGAAAACAGCCAGATCTGTCTAGAAGTTAAAAACAACAGCTAGAACAACTGACCGTCCAAAGAACACAGCCCAATTATAGACAGAGAGGTAGAGCCGGCGCACCACCGGTCCAACATTTGCCTCCATTGCAGAGCTTCCAGGAAGAAGCAAAGATATTGGATGTGCACTTAGGCCCTGAATCACCTACCCTATAGCTGCACACACATTGGATGCACTTAAATACTACCAGTATCTTTGGTTATGCCTTTCTCGGACTAGTATTGTGATTGAAATGTTACCACCGCTCAACCTGATTTAGCTTTAAGTTGAGGACATCACTACAGGAGTTTGGTACAGATGGTTGGGGAGTGTTAGGGGGTGCGATTGCAGCTGCAACCACCCTGCCATACCATACACGTGATCAGATAATATCATCACAACAGCAAAAGTGAGTGATGGTGCAATAACTTATGTTTTCCTTTTGTTCATACAATAACTTATGTTATCCTTTTGTTCTTCACATGTATACTGTAGTACTGTACAAGTGCAAACCATGTCGTAACTAGGTGGTCCTTACACGAGTTTGATTCAGAGAAAGCTGGTTATCATGTACTCGTACGATCTTATATTTCTTTACAGACGAAGTACTCTTGAAAAGGAAATGTGTGTAAATGGCGTACAAAAACTGAACCGAAGCATCTTTTTTTTCGAAAAGGGGGGACTCCCCGGCCTCTGCATCAGAAAGATGCATACGGCCACATCAACAGATAAATAAATATGTTCAACAAGGTCTTATAGTCTGAAAAGAAAATAACGACAAGCTCACAAAGAGCCACAACGCCAAAAACAAAAGGCCCAAAAGCCACAACCGGCTGGCATAACAAAGATAGGTAAACTAATCGCCTATCCTATTACATGACCGCCATCCAAACTGGTTGAAGATATCCCGCGCTACCATCTTCCACCGGACAGATCCAGTAACCAAATGCTCTCTGGCCTCCGTCGGAGTGAGTAACGACCACATATGGATCAGCGCGGTAGTTCAAAATAAAACCCGCAAAAAATGAATATTTGTTGTTCTGTTAAAAGCCAAATCATTTCTGTAGTTCCAAATTGCCCACAACAAAGCACATACTTCTACGCGAATGTGTCTAGCTGTTTCAGACTCTATACCAACAAGCCACGTTCCAAATAACGTACTGACTGAATTCGAAGGAGTAATGTTAAAGGCAATATGCACCGTGTGCCACAACACTCTTGCCAACGGGTAGTCAAAGAAGAGGTGCTTAATAGTTTCGTCCCGATCACAGAAACTACACCTAGCAGATTCTGTCCAGTTACGCTTAACCAAATTATCCTTTGTTAAAATGGCTTGTTTATGAACAAACCACATAAACACTTTAATTTTCAAAGGAACTTTGACTTTTCAAACCTCTTTGGAACTAGGAATAGCACTAGAGTAATGACATCGATATACATCGACTTAACTGTGAACTCTCCAGACCTAGTAAGCTTCCAACACAACTGATCGGGCTGATGAGATAACTGCACCTCCATCAGTCTACTCACCAAATGAAGCCATGCTTCCCACCCGTCTCCAACAAGCGCCCTCCTAAACTGAATATTAAGTGGAATAGACTGCATGATCGTTGCAACAAGAGCATCACGTCGCTGAACAATACGATATAGGGACAGATACTGAAGTGCCAACGACGTTTCACCAAGTCAAGTATCCTCCCAGAAGCAAGTGGTGTTGCCATTACCGACAATAAACTTTGTTCTATTAAAGAAGGCGACTTTGACTCTCATAAGCCCCTTCCAAAACGGCGAGCCAGTCGGTCTCACTGTCGCCTGGGACAAAGTCTTGGACTACAGATACTTACTACGGAGAATCTATGCCCACGTGGCCTCAGTCTCAACCGATAACTTATATAGCCACTTGTTGAGAAGACATCTGTTCTTGACTTCAAGATTCTCAATACCAAGGCCCCCCCTGGTCCTTTGGTCGACAGATGATATCCCATCTAGCGAGTCAGTATTTCTCTTAAGTTCATCACTCTGCCAGAAGAAACGGGATCGATAGAAGTCCAGCCTTTTCCTAACACCAACTGGGGCTTCGAAGAAAGATAAGAGAAACATAGGCATACTCGTGAGCACCGAATTAATAAGAATCATTCGACCTCCATATGACAAAAGTTTGTCCTTCCAGCAACTCAGTTTCTTCTCAAACCGATCCTCAATGCACTTCCATTCTCTGTTTGTCATGGTGAATGGGAATACCTAGGTACGTGAAAGGTAATGCCCCCAAATCGCATCCAAACAATTGCCTATAAGTCTCTTGTTCCTCATTGGCTCTACCAAACAGAACAACTCACTTTTATGAAAGTTAATCTTCAATCCGGTCAATTGTTCAAATAAGCATAACACCAGCTTCATATTTCTCGCTTTTGCCAAGTCATGCTCCATAAAGATGATCGTATCATCAACATATACTGTAGGATGGATACACCACCATCAACTAGATGAGGCACCAATCCACCCACCTGACCGGCCTCCTTTCCCCTACCTATCAGAATTGCCAACATGTCAGCCACAATGTTGAACAGAATAGGAGACATTGGATCACCTTCTCTCAGGCCCTTGTGTGTCTGGAAATAATGACCTATATCGTCATTCACTTTAATTCCAACACTCCATTTTTGCGTGAAAGATTCTACTTGGCATCGCCAAGCTTCATAAAAACCCTTCATGTGTAAGGCCTGTTGAAGGAAAGGCCATTTGACTTTATCGTACGCTTTTTCGAAATTCACCTTGAAAACAACTCCATCTAGTTTTTTCATGTGAATCTCATGGAGCGTTTCATGAAGGACCACAACCCCTTCGAGGATGTTCCTGTCCAGCATGAAAGTAGTTTGGGTAGGTTTCACCACAGCATGCGCAATTTGTGAGAGCCTATTAGTCCCGACCTTGGTAAATTTTTTGAAACTAACATTAAGAAGACAGATGGGCCTGAATTGCTCAATTCTCATAGCCTCTGTTTTCTTAGGAAGAAGGGTTATCGTTCCAAAATTCAGTTGAAAAAGCTGAAACTGTCCAGAGAATAAATCATGGAACAACGACAACAGGTCCCCTTTAATAATATGCCAGCACTTCTTATAAAACTCAGCCGGGAATCCATCCGGGTCGGGAACCTTATAATTTTTCATCTGCGAAATGGCCTCAAACACCTCTTTCTCAGAAAAAGGAGCAGCTAAAATATCATCCTTAACAGTTGTAAGTTGAGGAACATCCTCAATCCTAGACTCATCCAGAGAAACATAGTTATCCTTTGGAGGCCCAAACAACTGCTTGTAATACTCAGTAATGTATAATTTTAGGTTCTCCACCTAGAATCGTTCCTTCATCTTGCTCAAGCTGAAAGATCCTCTTCTTTCTGTGTTTGCCATTAGCGATCATGTGGAAGAATTGAGTGTTCGCGTCCCCCTGGACAACTCTTCGGACCATGGCCCGCAGCGCCCACTTTAATTCTTCCTCATGAAGAAGCTCTTTCAGCCTCATCTCCGCGTCAAGCTTGGCATGAAGCTCTGAGACCGGCAAAACCGTGGTTTCTTCTTTTACATCTAGAGACTGAATAAGGGTAAGGAGCCGTTCCTTTTCGACCTTATAAATCCCGCTAAGATTCTTAGCCCACCCATGTAAGAAACTTCTCAAGTGCCTAATCTTATTCTGCCAACGCTCAAGCGCAGTCCTGCCTCCTACATCCTTAGCCCACTCTCTGGCTATGAGATCAAAGAAGCCTTCTCTTTCAAACCAAGCAAGCTCGAACAAAAAAATGTTTTTGTTTCCCAAGTGGGTTGCCTCACCCGAGTCAAGAAATAAAGGCGTGTGGTCAGAGATACCACGAGAAAGTGCCTGAACTGTCACAAAGGGAAATTTATGTTCCCATTTGACACTAGCCAGTACTCAATCCAACTTTTCAAACGTCGGATTTGGCAGCGCGTTAGCCCAGGTGAACTTTCTTCCTGAAAGCTCTATCTCTCTCAGATCCAAACTTTCAATGATAGTATTAAACATGAACGACCATCTGCCGTCAGAGTTATCATTGTTCTTCTCATCACGCCTTCTAATGATGTTAAAATCACCCCCACCAGGATTGGAAGCTGCTCAGAACCACAAATCCTAACCAGATCCGTTAAGAAATCAGGTCTGAGCTCAGGCTGTGCAGCACCATATACCGCCACCAGAGCCCAATTAAACCCATCAGCCTTCGACCGCACCCTAAACTTAACAGCAAAATCTCCCATGACCACACTTCGGACTCCTAGCGAATCGCATCTCACTTTGAGTAAAATCCCACCTGATATTCCTCGCAATGGCAGACAATGACAGTCAAAATCAATACCGCCCGATAAGGTATTGAGAAATTGTGATGAAAAATTATCTCTACCAGTTTCCGACAATGTGATAGAGTCCAACCTATGCTCTATAGACGCCTCTGCAAGAAACATTCTTTTAGCCAAGTCTTTCAGACCTCTGCTATTCCAAAAGATTCCTTTCATATTTCATCATGGAATTTTTTAGCCATGCGGATCCTAGCACTCCTACGCACTGCGGAAGTCGGGTAGATCTTCCGCTTCCATTTGCGTTTAGGAATGTTCTCACTCTCCAGCCGGTCCTCACAACCAGGCTTAGAAGGTCTGACAACACCACTCTCCAGACTCTCCTCCTCCTCCTCATACTCAGGGAGGGGAGGAGCGAGATCCGCATAAAAATTATCAAGCACCCTGACCCCCAACGCATCAATATCGGAATCATTCATGGGTTTAACCGCTGCTATGTTACGAATCATCTCTAAAGCCCGCTCAGCCTCTAAATCCAGGAATCATTAACGGAATTTGAAATCTCACTAACATTACTACCTAGTGAAATTCCTAATTGGTTTGCATTGTTAATAATCTCATCATTAGAAAAATGCAGGATGGAATTTGAGGTACTAACCGACATACCAGTAGTGACCTCAACACCACGAAGCTTGGCCACCTTCATGGCGCACAGTTGCTAGATGTCGTCAACCTCCAGATGATCCTGGAGACGACAGCTCATCCATCGCCCCTCAGAAACCGGATCTGGAATCCCACCGAACGCAA